ATCATGCCTGTGGTCAGTAATATTCGACAACTTTTCCAATCTACAATCTGATGCAGGCTTTGATATTCTGCAGAATTTAAGTAGACTACTGCATAATGTCACTAGTTAATTTTATATAAACCACGCCCGCAGCCTATAACATCATGAGGATAGTCTAGAACATCGTGGTATTAGGCTGCAGTAATCTACAGCTTTCGCGGCATATGGCGCAACATCAGCTTCCTACAAGAGCAATTCCGTTATTTCCCTTAAATCCTAATTCTTTTGGTAGCAAAAATACAGTTCTCTCCCTCCCCCTCCCCCCCCCCCCCCTCTCTCTCTCTCTCTCTCTCTCTCTCTCTCTCTCTCTCTCTCTCTCTCTCTCTCTCTTTCTTTCTCTCTGAAACATCTGAAATAATTTGTTAAAGATAAAACGGGATGAATTTAAAAGGAGTGAAGTAATAAGAAATGTCTGAGCAACCACTAGTGTCAACATTTCTAAGACAAAGAAGATGCGTTAAGCTGGACACATTCTGAGAAGAGACGAAAACAGAATTACAAGACAGGCACTGAAATAGGAAATAGAAGGATGGAGGATCCGAGGACGTCTAAAAGACAGCCTAGGACGAACTTTATTGAGAGAGGTCAGAAGGGCGGACTGGATTCCATTCATGATATCGAAGTGATTGCACTGCATGGAGAGGAATGGAGAAACAGACTGCTAGCCATGACAAAAATTACGAGGAATGGATAATGGGCAAGATACAATTATTTCATCAACCTTGTTAGACAGGAGATAGTTTAAAAGTCACCCTGATGAACAAACCTAAATCAAAAGTACAGAAGACTAAGGGGTGAGCAACAAACCCATTGCGGCCTATGTGGCTTAGGCGCTGCGAGTTCGACTCGTAATTCCAACGTACCGCGATCAAAACCCACTGCTGGCTGCGTGAATTTTTATCATAGTATGGGGCGTGGCAGATCGACCCTGTCCAGAATGGGTACCAGGATGGATGTCATAGGGAAGTCAAGACGGCCGGCGTAATGCTGACCACATTACCCATCTAGTGCCGATTGGTCTGTAAAAATATTGGGTGCTCTTTCCAAATGTCCTATGCACCCAAGGCGTTTAAAAGGATCTTGACTTTTACTTGAGTTATAACAAACCCATTACGAAAGTGGATGAAGTGAAGACAAGAAATGAGGATGAGCGAGCAGTTAAAATGGAAGAAAGCTGAAAAAGGCTCCATGAGGCCAATGAAAATGGCCGCTGATGGCGAGGGCTGTTAGTGATGCTTATGTAGGATTGTAACACAAGCAGTAATAACTGACTGAGAGGATGCATACCGGGGCGCCTGACGCTGGGTGCTGAGACACCTTGAGCGCACGTCTTCAAGGTAAAGCAATTAAGAAGACCCCTCCCTTCCCCAGATAAATTTCTTAGGGGTTAAACGCACCCCCGTTCACACATACACATCATGCACAGATGTGCTCTTTTTACAGTCCTGTTTATACATCTAACACTTATTTGCCATTCAGCACATAATTGTTATTTTGTTATTATTAAATACTTAAACAAGGCTTAGGCTTTTTTAAGGCCCTCGCCCCTACTTCCCGGCCAAAGTTTTATTTGTGTCGGCACCCTGGTTGCATTGCACATTAGCATTTTGTCTGACAGACTGCGAAGTACAAACATGATTGATGAGCATCAGAACGACCTCCTTTTTTAAAGAGGGCTGCCCGAAAAGGTACCATTGAGTATATGCCCTTGTGTGTCACAAGTTTCTTCTACTTGTGCGGTGTAATACGTCAACAATGATATATTAAGGAAATACTGCAGACAATTTCTCGCTGGTTTCAGAACAAATTCTAAAATTAATAACAACGAATGTGTCATAGTACTCTGTCAACAAAGACATACTACTTGTGAATGTTAGTTATTTACATGCAAGTTTAATCTCGACTTCAGCTACGCCACAACCAGAA